GTTTTGTATTCAGTTTCAGTTACAGTTGAATTGCTCTGATGATATTGTTCATTTCATGCAATAAAAGGTCAAAAATGAATTTATAATTTTTTCCAACTGTATTAATTAAAGTGGCATGGAGTATAGTGTTATAGTTGAAGAAAACTTCACCGCCATGATTTCTCTATTTTGTCATTAAGTAACCTATCCGAACAATTATGATAAATACAATTCTTATTTCATATACTCTCTTGTATAGGAAAAACTAACGTATGATGAAGCTATAGAACTGCTTGCGTTACTTGCCGTTAACGATAATGATCAGACATTGCGTCAAAATCCAGTTGTCAAGAATGTTATCGACAGTTGTCAAGGTTTACCATTAGCTATCACTTTAATTGGTGGTCTTGATTTAAAAACTGATGAAGAGTGGAATCAAGCAAAGGATATCATTGCCAAAAAGTCTGCAGATATTGAATTAGCTCATTACGGTTTCAATCTATACGGGACTTTACAATTAAGTGTTGATACTTTAAATGATGAGATTAGACCATTATTTGAGCAACTAGCTGTATTTAAGCGAGTCGGTATTCCTATTCAATCTGTTGCATCGTTATGGAACTACGATGAAATCGAAGCTCGGAATCTCGTAAAGAAAATGCATAACAAATCATTACTTACATATGATAAAGAAAAGTAAGTTTAATCAGATTTCGGTTCGTAGAATGTATTGAAATAGACACAAAGTAAATTGCTATACATTTAGAGCATCAATCATGTTTGAACACCAATTATTTTTAATTTTGGGGTAGAGTAGAATAGTGCATATCCAAGTTAAGTTAATTGAGTGATGTCCAATTTTGCAATGCTTTATATTTTAATATTCAAAGCATGACCTAGTGTGTCCTTGTAGGCATATATAGTGATAGATATAGAATGAACAGATTGATAAGTATTTTAAATGGATTGTGACTGTACAGTACTTGCATGTCGAATAAGCTATCATATATCTGCTTTATGTTAATTTTGGTTAGAATACTGTATGCCCAAGTTAAGTTAATGGAGTAA